CCCACCCTTTCTTCTTCTCCTGACACCCTGCAACAGGACCCCCGACCCAGCCCTATCTTTTTATGGTTCACTGAATTCAGTTATACCCCACTGCATACTCATGGGTGTGGGGCCATCTACTGGATGTTGATACACCACAGGTAAACTCTCGTTTTGGAGGTGAAGGCCATGGTGTGGGAAGAGCCAGAATATGATGCAGGAGTCTATTATCAGGGCAAGGAACATGGAATGTGTTTCTCCTGTCTGCTAGCCCTGTACATGCTAAGGAAGGATCTATCCCTGATTATACTTCCAGCCCTTGAGAAAATAGAATTTAAAGCCAGAAAACTAAACATAGTAATTGGGTATTTGACATTTCTGTGCAAGCAATGCCAAAATTCTGAATTTTGGGAGATGGCCATTTTCTTCACATATGCTTTTTGTAAACACCACCAGTTGGTACCTTTCTCTTTCTTTAAGATAGTGGAAATAAAAGACAGTGTGGAAACTAATACCACCAGTTTCACAATGGAAATTAAACACAAGCAAACAGCACATTAATATGCAATATTAATAAAATACACGAAGCATACATGCAAGCAAAAGTACAAGGGAGACCTAGATACCGTGTCAGATGACTATCCTTGGTTGTTAACTTGACTACATCTAGAATTAATTACAACTCAAGTGTCTGATTAGATTATTTGAAATGGGAAGACCCACCCAAAATCCAGATTATTTGAGGTGGGAAAATCCACCTCAAATCTGGGACACACTTTTTGGGGACAAACTGTATAAGTGACATGAAATAAGGAAGCTTTTGCTCTTTGCCTGCTCATCAATGCTCTTGCTTCATTGGTATTAGAGCCTGCTTCTTTGGGATTCTGACATATACTGAAGACCAGCTGAGACATCCAGCTGCATGGATTGAACAACTACTGGATTCTTGAACTTTCAGTTGGGAGACAGCTATTGTTAAATTAACTAAACTACAGCCTGTAAGCCACACACACACACACACACACACACACACACACACACACACACGTATATATTCTATCAGTTCTGTTCTTCTAGTGAACCCTGACTAATATACCATGTGTTTGCAATTCTGCTTGGTTTCAGCTCATAGAATGCTCCATCTTGCCTGTCCAAAATGTACATCACTTTTACCAAAGGTGACATCACATGCCCCTTATTAATGAGACAGTGGCTTATGTATTCCTGCCCTATTCATACTGCAATGAATCATTTAAATTTAGCAATTATAATGAATAAGGAATGCAACCAAACATAGATTTCATGTTTTTTTATGAAAATATAGTTTATTAGTACCTTCTCATTAAATACATTTGTGAAGTTTACTAGGTTGTCTTTGGAGAGTTTTATAAATTGCATTTTCTAAAATTAGTTACTTTTGGAAGGCTACATAAACTGAAGGACTCTGTTCACCCAGTGTCTAGATGGGTATCGGAATCATACTCATCTCGTTGCCATGATACTATGAGCATCAGTCACTGAGGCAGCATGGAGCGTGGCACCAAGCACCACAAAGGGGCTATCACAGCAGTGGTAACTGTTGTAATTTTATAACGCCTTCCCATTTTTATTAGAAACAGGTAGGAATAGAAATAAACAAACAGATAGGTATATAGACAAACAGATAGATATGGACTCTGTGAATGCATTTCAAGAAATATTGTTTTTCTACTTCTTTATTCAGAATATTCTAGGGTTTTTTGTTTTGTTTTGTTTTGTTTTTGTTAGTTGATTTTGTTGTTTTTGAGACAGGGTCTCAGTATGTAGCCCTGGTTGGCCTGGAATTCTCTATGTAGACCAGATTAGCCTAGAATATGTGGCAATCTTCCTGACTCCTCATTTTCAACTTTGTAGGATTTTTGTTTTGTTTTACTTTTTATGACTTTATTGGTTACTGTTATTTATTTCTTCACTTACTTAAATTCTTTTTATTTTCCTTGTGGGGAAGCTTGTTGGGGAGATCACTCATTCTGATAAGATGCTTGCTTCAAAAGCATGAAGACCCAAGTTCAGATCCCTGGAAGCCATATAAAAAATCCCAAATGGTGGTGGTGGCACATGCCTGTAAACCCAATGTGGCAGCAATGGCAAGGGGATGGGGAGAGGTGAGAGCCCAATAATTAAAGTCAGTCTAAGACAAATCAGTAAGTGTTACGTTATCTAGGGACCATATCCTAAAACATAAAAGTGGAGAGAGATTGAGGAAAGACACCAACATCAACCTCTGGCCTCCATACACATATGGACATACATGCACACGTGCACAAATCCACATTAGCAGGTATATACACCATATAGCTAAAAAGCCTTCATTCTGTGTATTCATTAGACACGGTACTGATACATAGGGACATTTTCAGACAAGTATGTAATGTACACATAAGCATCCACCCTCATAATTTTGTGTTTTTTATCCACAGCATTATTTTTTTTCTGGAATATTTTAAAGTAAGCCTAGAAATTCCCATTCCCCTCATAAATCCTTCAGCATGCATCTCTAACTATGGGATTGTTTTTTAATAACCATGCCAATTAAAAATAATCTGTTAGAATAACTAAACGCGATGCTTAAATCTCAATGCTAGTCTCAGAAATGTCCTTTTACAATTGATCTATTAGAATTAGAATCCAAACGGCATCTATCATGTTACATTATTACATTCGTCTGTCGTTGTGTCTTACTTATTTAATTTGTAGGGTTTTCTTTCTGTCTGTCTGTCTTTCTTTTTGGTTTGTTATTTTAATAGAGTGTCTGGTCTCACTTTGTAACCCAAGTTGGCCTTAAACTGGAAATCCTCAGCCTTCCTATGTGTTACAAACTTGCTCCACCAGCTCCTGTGTGTTGCCCCACCCCCACCCCAAGGCCTTCCTGTTTCTCCAGGCTGTCATCTCTTATGACAATCCTCCTGCCTCAGCCGCCCAAATGCTGGACTTACAAGGTATGAGCTACCATTTTGGGGTCTTTTGTCTCATTTCTTTATGACAGGACTAACACATCATAGACATCATTCTTCATTTTGTTTCTTCACCTAAACAATGCACCTTGAAGATGACTCTGTCATTAAATAAAGATGGAATTCTAGTTCTGAGCATTAGTATTCCATCGTGTGGGTATTAGGATTATTTTCAACATTTCTGACTGTATTTTTCATGTTAGTACTGTGGGACATCTGTGATTACCCACATATTGAAGAAAAGTTATTAAATCATATTTCTTCCTCTCTCCCCAAAATTGTTAAATCTAATAAAAGCAGAATGGATACAGGAGACATAAGCAAACTCTCAAATAAACACAGTAATTTGAATTCACAAGGTTTAAGAAAGAAAATGTGACCACCAAAATACGATAGAGAAACTAAACTGAAATTATCAATAACCTACAGTTTTATTGCTAAGTTAAAAAGGGGGGCAGGCTGGTTGTGGTGGCCACACTTGTAATCCCAGCACTCAGAGGTGAAGGCAGGGGGATCAGGAATTCATCGGCATCCTTGACTACACACCAAGTTCAAGTCCAGTATACACTACGTGGGACTTTTTCAAAATACCATATTGATAAGTAAGTAAGTGAATGAATGAATGAATGAATGAATGAATGAGTGAGTGAGTGAGTGAGTGAACGAACGAACGAACGAACGAACGAACAGAGGCTACCATTTGTCTTAACCCAGCGTCCCCGAAAAGAAGACTGGAGAGAAAGAGGAGCGGTAAACACAAGCCCAGGGAAACAGAAGGGGAAGAAGGAGGTCAATGCAGTCGGATGAGCCATTCTGAGCTGGCCTGAGGGTCTTGCAGCTTCAGTCTGAGTCCTCTGTTTAGGCTGGGACAGGCACAGGGTCTTCTCGCTGTCAATCAGCTTCTCACTGGCAGCTCTTCGCCACAGGGAAGCAGTGACAGTGCGCATGCCTGAAATTTTTGTACATGTGTGCATGTAGCCTACCTACACCCTATGGTTGGCATACAACAATGGCAATGGTGTTATGAGTCTCTCACAGAACAAAAGTTCTGCCCAAGATCACAGACTGCTTTGCAGTCTGATCCAGATTCCTGAAAATGCCAAGTACTAATATAGTATTTGCATACCCTGAACATTAAATATATATGTATATGTATACATATTTAATGGAAGGAATTGGGGGAAATGGGAAGATACCTTATGGGCACATACACATTCCTTCTTCTGTTTCTTCTTTATTTGAAAAAGAATCTTTCTCCATAGCCCAGGCTGGTCTTGACCTCACTCACCATCCTCCTACTTCAGCCTGCAAAGTACTGAGATTTCAAGTGTCCACACACCTGACTCAAACTACTCTCTGCACCATTGACTCTCATCACTGTGGAGTATTACCAACATAGATGTTTATTACACTGTGCTTGAATAAATGAATGAATGACTGCCCTGTCAGAATATGAGATGTACTTTAACTTGGAGGCAGAGGTGGAGGAGGAATCCTTGCTTCCTTCCCATCCCACACTCTGTGGTTTCTTTGACTCTAAAAGTTGGCTAGATTGCAAATTTGCTCTAATGTTGGAAAACCAACCTGAGTCAGATTGCAGAGGTGGCTGACATCTGCAATCCCAGAGCTGGAGAAGCTGAGGCAGGAGGATTGCTTCGAGTTCAAGGATAGATGGGCTATTACCTCAAATGAAAAAAAGTAAAAAAAGTTTGAAAACCAAAAGGCTTTCGGATGAAAGCAAGGGATGGAACGCTCCTTAGCTGGCCCCTACCAGGGGAGCCCAAGAAACATGCATCAGTGCAAATTCCCGAAAAGCGGGTGTCGCCTCAGCACTGACTTGTGCCTGGAGTAATAGCAGTCAGTGTACCCTGATGTATTCTCTCCAATAAGAGCCTCGTTGTTTTCGGGTATGCACACATGAACACCAGCCGCTGCGGTTTTGATGCGTAGTTCCTTGCACTGATAAGCAAAAACTGCTGAAGTCATGAGGCTGCTCCAGACAGAGCCCTCGTGTGAGTCATACGAAAGCTCCACTCTGCTGACCTCTGGCAAAAAAGGGAGTGAAAGAGAACTGGAGAGGCGGATGGGGAGAGGTTCAAGTGCGGGTTTTCCACTTGAACCTGGACTATTATGGGTCAGGAGCTGTGTGCAAAGAGACAGCCAGGATGCAGTTGCTACCACCGTTCGGAGAGAGGGGAGGCGCACAGCTGTCAGAGAAGCCAGCCTGGGAGCACCGAGGCTGCTGCGTTCGAGGTATTTGGATCCCGGGAGGAGCATCTTTCTTTATTGGTAAACCAAGCAATTCAGGCAGACGCTCCCTTTTGTAGCAGTGTCTGATTCCTCTGCGGTAGGTCTAAACTCATAAAAAGAAAATTCTATTAAAGTCACAGAGGATTTATGGCCGTAGTTATCAAGTTTTGGGGTGTGCTTGTAAACCAGGAGAGGGGAATACTCTTTGGCTTTGGTCTCTTTTGACTTGAAATAGAGAAAGTGGTTCTCCTCTGGCCATCTCCGAGCCACTAAATGGCAGGGCTGAACTGTAGAGGGCAAGCTGCCATACTGGTAGGTCCGCTGTGGATTCTCGGGTTCAGTAATTATCTCATGATGATTAGCAGTGTCTTACTGGATCATTCTGGCATTCCATTAAGTACGTAGGAACGTGGGTGGGCATGGGGGAGACCGAGTTAAACAGAGAAATCGGAAAACATCCATCAAGGAGACTGGGTGAAATTGTGCAGGTGAAGGAGAAACTTGGCATTTCAGCGATAGGTATCATGGTGATCTCTAAGGCACCTGATTTCCAGGAGAGGTGCCTTCAGAGGGTGGAGGGAGCTTAGAAAAATAAAATAAAATAAGACAAGCAAACAGGCAAATAAAACAAAACAAGGGTTTTGCCAGCCACCAAATTGAGTTTGTACACGTACTTTCTTTTTCCTCTAGCTAACAGACATAAAAGGAGCAACGTGTTCCTTGTCTTCATTTCACCCCAGGGGACTCCAGGGCCCTGGTGACCAGAAGCTGGAGAGCAAAAGGCCCCGGAGTAACAGTGACTCTTTTCAGGAAGAGAATCTGAGGCAAGGGTTGCCATGGGTGAGTGAGCCATTGACAGGCATCAAGAAGAATGTCATGGGTGCTTGTCTAGGGAAGCTGGCCTCCACCTTCAGGGATGCCTGTGTGGGTCCCCCGCCCCCGTACACACAGGCTGTCTAATGCTCCTGGGGAAAAGACAAGTCAACATTATTTTTGAAGTGCTCTTTTTGTCTTGTCACCTCTCACCCTACCCCATAAGCAGAAGAAGAGCCTCCCTTTTGGGGCAGCCTCATCTTATTTGAACTTGGAGAAGCTGGGTGAAGGCTCTTATGCCACAGTTTACAAGGGGATTAGCAGGTGAGTGATTTGTCAGACCTTAGATGGGGGTGTCTCCTATTGCATTATAAATCCAACCAATGTATCACAGCCATTCACAGCCTTTGGGACTGTGACAGGACATCTGGGCCAACAGGAAGGAGATATGGTGATTTTAACAGCCTCGAAAACAAAAACAAACAAACAAACAAACAAAAAAACTCCATAACAACACAGATCTTCTTTAGCTAAAATCAACCACTAAAGAAGGTAGACTTCCTTCACCGTTGACCCAAAGAGCAATTACGACCTATAGAGAAACCAGTAAGGTGTCTCTAGAGTTTTTCTTATCCCTTCCTAAATCTCAAAGTGTGAAATTGTAGTGTGAAATGTTTTACTCTTTTGTCTTTTCGAGGGGACTACAACCCAGCACCCAAATAAATACATTCTTAGTTATGAGTGTCTGCCCTTAGCTTGGCTTGTTTCTTGCCAGCTTTTCTTAAGCTAGATTATCCCATCTATCTTTGGCCTCAGGGCTTTTATCTTTCTTTTTTTAAAAAAAAAGGCCTCAGGGCTTTTATCTTTCTTTTTTTTTTAAAGATAGATTTATTTATTTATTTATTTATTTATTTATTATGTATGCAGTGTTCTGCCTGCAGGTCAGAAGAGGGCACCAGATCTCATTATAGATGGTTGTGAGCCACCATGTTGTTGCTGGGAATTGAACTCAGGGCCTCTAGAAGAGCAGTCAGTGCTCTTAACCTCTGAGCCATCTCTCCAGCCCCTATCTTTCTTTATACCTGTATACCTTTTCTTTCCCTCTTATTCCATGTCTGGCTGTGTGGCTAGGTGGCTGGCCCCTGGTGTCCTCCGTTCTTTATTCTCTTGATCCTTCCCTTCCTCAGTTGTCCTTCTATTTATTCTCTCTGCCTGCCAGTCCTGCCTATCCTTGCTCCTGTCTTGATATTGGCTGTTCAGCTCTTTATTAGACCATTAGGTGTTTGAGACAGGCAAAGAATCACAGCTTCACAGAGTTAAACAAATGCAGCATAAACAAAAGTCGCACATCTTAAAATAAGATTCCTTAACATAAGATATGCAAAAAACTACATCCTGTATTTTCTGAATCTGTAAAATATACAAAATGGCTGGAAAAAGAGAATGCTTATTCAAAACCCTGGTACTGGTTCTAAGATGGAATTCTGATCTTTCTGGTTGCCTTCTAGTAAGTTATCCTTACTTTCTTACCAAAAGTTGGAAAAGTTTATCCTTTAATATATGGTACTCCAATAGAGAAAATAATGACTTAATGGTAGTCATGTTTTAAAAATACAAATATTATAAAACTAAGTATTTTTATTTGGAATTTGTATACCTGTTGCCATCTTTGTTAAAATAATATTATTAGGGAAATACAATCTGAAATGCATTGTGTAGAACCAGAATTTTATTCATGACCACAAATTATGCTAAGAACCAAAAAAATAAAGTATTTCCTTCAATGAACTCAGCTTAGTAATAGGATAAAAGTGCATTAGAAATGCTTTGACTTGAGCTCACAACCATATAAAAACCCAGGGGGAGCTAGCTACACATTCCTATAACCCCAGTACTGTGAGGAGAGGAAAGAGTGGGACAGGAGGATTGGTGGGGTTTGCTAGCCACCAGACTAGATCCAAGTTCAGCAAGAGACCTTACCACAAAAGAATAATATATGTATTACATATAAGAAAAGAATCATATACTTCTACTATGTATAATATACCACAAAAGGATTATATGCATGCATGTATATTCATATCACATAGGAGAGGGAGAGAGGTTTATAATATAATAAATAAGAATAAAAACTGGCTTTAAACATCCATTAGAGATGGGCCAGTTAAGTAGTCACTGTACTATGAACTAATATGAAAAGAGGCCCAGTATTGAAGAAGAAGGAGGAGGGAGTAGTGATGGTACCTATATAGAACCACATGTATTCTACAGTCCTGTTTAAGGAAATAAACAGTACTTATAAGGGTCTGAGGACAAAAGATTTACTTTTAGTGATTGAAACTGGAGACATGACATTTATGACTTAAATTCACATCTCCAAGTACTATGCGGTGGCATATACCCATAGCCCTATCACTCAGAAGGCTGTGGTAGGCCTATAGAAGGCCAGCCGGGGCAGAGTGAGATCTTAGCTCAAAAAATCCTATCTTAGATGTTCTAGACAATGTAAGAAGACTGAGACTGAAGATCATTTTTCAGATTGTAGCATGGTCTTTCTAGAAAGCCCAAGCCAATCCACCTTAAATTATCAAACCTAGTCACACATGGCAATCATCTGATCAGTTGCAAAGTCAATACAAGTTGCTTATGTATTAGAAAGAATTATTTAGAAAATATAGTAGAGAAAACAATTCTCACAACAGCAACAAAAATATAATTGTCAGTATTAAAATGAGCAGGGTTCATAAAGACTTGTTATGGTACACAAAAAACTTAAATCAGACAGTTTGCTGTAATCAACTAATTTTTGTGCTGTGGATATTTATTATGCCCATGCCGTGTTTTATCTGTTAAGAATACTTTGGAGAACTAGAGACAAATACTTCCACACTTGTGGAGTGAGGGAGGAGTACCAGACCATAAACAAAACAGTAAAACAGTGGACCAAAGGGGGCTGAGAAACGTCGCCAAGGCAATCACAACTTTAAAAAGAGTGATAAGAAGAGGCCTCACTGAGAAAGAAATGTTTGGACAGGGAATCTGAGGAAGGTGACAAGAAGCTAGATGCAGGGACACAGAGGACAACTCCAAGCGGTGGTGGTGGTGGTGGGGTCTGTGTGCCAGAATCAACCCCAACATTGGAGGAGTTGGAAGGAGGCGATGGCTGGGAGGAGCTAGTAGGCGTGGGAGTAATTTGGTGGATTACAAGGTGCTTGCAAATACAGGACAGTTAGAACCTAAAACCGTGGAGATGACATTGGTTCTCTGACTTCAGGTTTTGATGTGTACTAACTAGAAGTGTTCCTTGAAATATTTAAGGAAGTTGTGATTAGACACCCACCCTGGCTCCTGGGAACCCAAATCCAGGTATACTCAAATCACTTGCCAAAAAATGTTGCATATAACCCAATACAATGGAAATGTTATGCAAATAGTTGGATGTGGAATTGTATAGGGAATGACAAGAAAAAAGTCAATATACATTCAAATATTTTCAATCTGTGATTGGTTGAATGCACACACATGGTACCCACAGACACGAGAGCTGGTTTTATAGTTTAAGCACAATTAAAATCGTGTAGCAAAGGTATACATGATAGATCAAAGACATTTTTAAAAACACGGGTCTTGCTAACATAGCCCTGGCTAACATGGAATTCAGTATGTAGATCATGCTGGCCTTGAGCTTGTGAACTTTCTTATCAGTGCCTCAGTACCACCACACCTGACAGAAATATGACTTTTAAAAGCTCTGGATATGTACAAATCTAAGTAATTAGTAAAATTTAATAAATGAACATTGTGACCTTTCAAGTCAGTAGGGAACAAAAAAATGTTCCCCCAAACAGCTCTAGGACAGTTAGCCTTTTTGCAAATTGAATATAGAATAAGAATACAGTGGAGTGAAGATTTAAATGAACAAGAAAGTGCACAGTAACTGGGTATAAAGGTCATCTGGGTGCAACCTTTAAGCTGGTGAGATCTGTGTACGCATTTAACATTCCACATACAGGAGTGCGGTGGTCATGGTGCCCATCTGTCCATCTGTGTTCCAGACAGCACTGACTCCAAGACACTTTAACGAGTGTTTCATTGAAACAGCTATAGTTAAATCGATGCTGGCAACCCTAGACAAAAATCAAATTCTTTTACAACAGATGCCTTCAGCCTTTCAAAACTGCCTATGTACCACAATTATTGAAGAGCAGTGGAAATTCTGATAGAGCAGAACATTTCTAAACATATTTAAACAAAAAGGGTTTTTGTGGGTGGAGTGAAATAGAATTTTATAGACTCAAGATCTCATTAAAATAGTCTAGGAAATACTATACATAAAAAAATTTAAGTTCAAAACTTAAAAGACAAGTGAAAGCAAGTGGTAAAAACCTATGTAAGACATTCCTGTGGAAAGATGAGGGAAGGATAAAATAAACAGAAAAGGCTGGGGGAAATATAGTTCCAAAAGTAAAGAAATTAAAATTAAATTAAAAAGCCATACACACACAGGCCAGCCTGTGAAGTTGAAAACAAAACTAAGCCCACACTGATGAGGGGTTTGGCAGAGTGTCATGGGCATCAATGGAAGAGTTTCCAAGGGGGAAAATCTGCCAAAACCAAGGCACAAAATTAAATGGTATTGAGTTAGAACCCAAAGAATAAAATATCTATGAGTCTCTGCTGCTCCAAATGAATGGTTCAATAAATTAATAAATAAGACAGAAGAAATAAATCTCCATGCAAAGGAATTCCAGATATCTTACACAGGTCTACTCTCTCAGAAGAGGATGACAGCAGATCCATTAGGTCTTGACAAAAGAATGCCCCTGTGACATAATATGGTCAAGATGGCTCTTGACCTTCCCTAAATTCAGAATCCCAGCTTAATCTTAAGAGAGACTTCAGGAAAAAACTCAAGAAAGGAGCAGCTCTCTACCAAGTTCTTAGCCAGCACGCCTCAAAACCATCAAGATCACCAAACACAGGGAAAATCTGGCAAACTGCACGGCCAAGAGGAGCCTAGGGAGACACAACAACTAACATAGTCCTGGATAGCATCTTGGACAATAAGAAGGACATGAAATAAAAGCTGAATAAATCCTAATGTGCTTTAATAACAATATATCAACATTGGTTCATTAATTATTATCATTATTTTACACTAGTTCAGTGTTTTGTTTTGTTCTGTGGGGCAGATTCATGTATTTCAGTTCTGGCTCAACTTTATATGTAGCTGAGGATGACCTTGGTGCTAGAATTACAGGTATAGGTCACCGTGCCCATTTTGGTTCATTTCTTGTTACTGCTATGCCTTACTAAGTAAGAGTCAACAGTAGAAGAGACAGAGTGCAGGGATATGGGGACTTTCTATGCTATTTTCTCAGTTTTTCTACTTTTTTTTTTTTTTTTTTTTTTTGGTTTTTCAAGACAGGGTTTCTCTGTGGCTTTAGAGCCTGTCCTGGAAATAGCTCTTGTAGACCAGGTTGGTCTCGAACTCACAGAGATCCACCTGCCTCTGCCTCCCAAGTGCTGGGACTAAAGGCGTGCGCCACCACCACCCAGAGTTTTTCTGCTTTTCTAAAATTGTTCTTTAAAAAAAAATGAAATTTAAAGCAAAAAAAAACAAATCAAATGAAAACTATGATGATCATTTCTGTAGCTAAATCTTTTCCCATAGCCCCCATTATTTTCTTAAGGGAAACAGTCTCACACTAGCCCAAGCTCATCTCCGGAACTCATCATGTAGCCCAGTCTGACCTTGTGGCAACCTTCCTCCTACCTCAGCCTCTCAAGGGCTAGGGTTACAACAGGAGCCACCAAGCCCATCACAGTATTCTTAAAATAACCCCAAACTGCAAGTTATAGGAATTTGGAATTGGCAGAACATACTGTGGTGTGCTTGTATGATAAAATATAGCATTATTAAATGTCACAGTGTGTAAGAGTGAATGATAAAACCAGGCATGGTGGCTTATGCTTGTAAACCCGGTACTAGAAAAGTCAAGGCAAGAGGATTGTTATGAGTTCAAGGCCAACTTGTTTTGAAAGATCATGAGTGATAATAGAAAATGTGAAACCCAGAGAGAACAGATTATCGACAGTGGATCTCACTGTATTAAAAACAACATGGCCGGGAAACAAACAAACAAGCAAACAAAAACCTTCTTGAATCTCTGTATTTATTTAATATTACAAACAAAATTATAAAAACAAATAATAAAATAAACAACAAAAAAAGAAAAAGAAAGAATTCAGCTGTTATCCGAAATGAAATGTTTATGTACTAGGACATGTGAAGGAATGCCTTTGTTCTAGCATCTTCAATCAAGCTGTTGCCTTGAACCATCTCAGTGAGTGTGTGTGTCTGCCCTGCCCCTTTCTAGGATAAATGGACAACTAGTAGCTCTAAAGGTGATCAGCATGAACGCCGAGGAGGGTGTGCCTTTCACAGCCATCCGGGAAGGTAAGACCAAGAACAAATGGACCCCAGAGGTTGTTTTGATTACTTTATGGTGTAAAAACAATGTAAAGGATTCAGGCTGCTCACTCAGCATGCCGTCTCTGGTATTTCTAGAAGTGATACTATAATTTCAAATTTTGATTTTGTTGCCATTTCCCAAGATTATTTTCACTATTATTTTAGTATTTGTTCTTGAAGACAAAGTTCAGAGCTGCCGTCCATATTATGACCTCTATGAGCGTTTACTAAATGTTTTCTGAATGTTTGGGTTCTTGCTAAAACCAAGTCTATACAACCCACAGAGATTCGTTCAAAAGAGAGAGGGAGAGAAGTGTGGCATCATAGGAATACTTGGAGTGGGAGAAGGGGGAGGTTCGCCTGATTACAGCATGCTTTCTTGTTTTGTTTTTGTTTTTCCTGAAGTGTTTAGGGATTGAACAAAGGGACCACACATATTCGAGTACAGATGCTTGCATGCGCGCGCTCGCGCGTGCACACACACACACACACACACACACACACACACACACACACACACACACTTTTTTTTTTCTTTGAGACAGAGTCTCACTAAGTTCCCCAGGGAGGTCTTGAACTTGCAACCCTTCTGCTTCAGCTTCCAGGATAGATGGCATGTTCTTTCAGCATTCTTTCTCTCCCTTTTTCTCTATCTCCCTCTGGAACTGTCTCTGTTTTTCTTGTTTGTTTGTTAAAAATGAGACAAGATCTCACTAATTGCCTAAGCTAGCTCCAAACTTTCTATGTAGCCCACTCTGACCTCAAATTTGCAGTACCCCTGCCTCCACCTCCCAAGAGCAGGCACTGTAGATGTGCCTACAAACCTAGCTTCCTGTGTTCTCTTTGCTCCCTGGGCAGCATGGTAAGGCGGTAACTAGGGTAACTAGATCGGAGTTTGCATCATCTGGTTGCTAGGCACTAATGAAGTGATTCCAGGTCCATTGCTTCTCTAAGACTCGGTTTTCAGCAGAAGTGGCCAACAACAGGACATGTTTCTCGGAGCTGTTATAAAGACCAAATGATAATACATGACACTTTTCACAATCTCTTTTTAGGTTTCAATGAATAGTCACTGCTATTGTTTTATTCTTGAATTTTATTACTTTTTAATTACTTATCCGTGAGAAGATTTATACCACAATGTTTAACATTAATAATTTTTAAACTTAAAACTAACATTGCAAAATAAAAGAATATAATTTATCAACATTCCACCTAAGGTTTCTGTTTGTTTGTTTGAGGCAGTGTCTATGATAGAGTCCAGACTGGCCCCAAACTCATTATATAACCAAGAATGGCCTTGAGCTCTTGATCCCCCTGCCTATGCCTCCCAAGGGCTACCATTACAGCTGTACCACCAGCTCAGACTTATACTTCCTGCTGGGAATCAAATCTTGAGCCTCAAGCATGCTAGGATATTGGTTACTTTTCTATTGTGGTAATAAAATACCATGACCAAAGGCAACTTGAGGAAGAGTTTATCTGGCTTACAGTTACAAAGAGGGAAGAGTCCATCATGTGGGGAGGGAAGGATGTTGGGAGAGGCAGAGCAGCAAACAGCTGCCATGGTAGCAGGAACAGGAAGTTAAGAGAAAGCACCTTCAAACACACACACACACACACACACACACACACGCACGCACGCACGCACGCACGCACGCACGCACAGCGAGCAAAAGAGCAAACCGGAAGTGGGGATGCCGTGAGCTCGAAAACCAGAACCTTCATTGATGTGCTTTCTCCAGCAAAACTGCACTGTCCCCAAACAATGCCACCAACTAAGAACCAAGTACTCAAATACTCAAGCCTATGAAGTACATTTGTCTTTCAAACCACCACACTAGGCAAGCATTCTTATCAGCTAGATATGCCCACACCTTATGTGAGCAATTTGAATGATGACTATTGATCTCTGAAAGAGATCCTAGAAATGGCCCTTCTTCAGCCTTAGGTTCTTCCTCTTAGCTTTGTGTCTTCCCTTCTTTACTGGATGGGTGCAAAGGATAGTGCTGAATGTTTGAAAAATGAACAGAGAAAGCCCCATTCTCCGTTCTGCTGTTCTCAGTCTTAACAGAGCAGATAAGTCAAATATTGAGTGTATAGAGGCTGTTGTAAGTGGAGATGAGTCTCAGTGTGGCTAATGGAGGCATAGTTTGGACTGGACTTAGAATAGGTTATGCAAACAGGCATAAAAAAACAATTCAGAAAATGAGTTTATAACTCAATTTGATGCCATTTTCAAAAGCCTCTGATGTCCCTAGGAGACATTTTAAATTTAAGTAGAAAGGCCAAGATGCTATCAGTTTAAGTGGGGACTCATTCTGATAGGATCAGGTGCAATTTGGGGGAACACATGGTTCAAGTGTTTAACATGATGGAAGCTGTACTTACTGATGTACTTAATAGTGGTCCAAATGAGAGGATGATCACATTTGGAGACAAAGGTGTGGAGAGATGAAAGAGGATTTCTGAACATAGTCAAAACCTCCAGGTCACCAGAAAGTGGACTCTTTCTATGTCAAGGCTCTCTCCCATCGTTCTCTGGACATTGCCTTTTGTGACCTTGAGTGCACTGATTACGCTTATATTTTTGGTTGTGAGCCTAGCCTTTAACGGCTGAGCCATTTCTCCAGTCTGAGTGCACTCATTACTCACAATGGGTTTTGTCCTATTTTCCCCATAGCTTGGGTTCTCCCGGTCCACACATCTGGCAGTCACAGTGAAACCTTTTTTGCAGCAGGTTTTGCTAACAGATGTTCTCAGCCTGGCTCAAAGCAGCGCCCCCGCCCCCCGCCCCGTGTATATTTCTATATGCACAACCATTCCTGCATTGCTTTACTGCCTGCTGCCTCCCACACAGGTGTTCACAATTACAGCTAGGGTTCCACTTCAGACTTCTTGGTTTGTTTTATGGACTGCCCCTTACTGAAGGCTTTGCTTGTATGATTCGAAAAACCATGAAAGGATTTTGACACATCGGAGGTGGTTTGACTTCCAGTTTCCAACAATGGCTGCTTCTTTTTCCTTCAGTGTCGTGAAACTTGCAGCCTTGAAAGCAAGGCTCTACTTAAGAACTTTGGCACTGGCTCATTTTTCCCTGGGTAAGATCTCATTGGATGTGAGACCAGAGAGAGACCAAGGTTAAATGGGGAGGGCTGGAAAGCAAGATAAGAACAGCTGGAGTTCATTAGTTAAAATCAAGGGTCATTAGCTAAAAAGGCAACCAAAAACCATGTGCAGAAAAAAACTAGCAGCCTTCTTTCCAAGTCCTGAAAGCAAGAATTCTGTTTCTGAGCAGTCTGCTTGCTCTAAAGATGTGGCAACCTGGGATTATTGAGTAGAATTTTGCTACATGGGCAGCCTCTCAATAGGTAAAATTTGTGTTTGTATTCATGTGCTCTTCATATATAATATGAAATTAATAGAAGTCTGAACAGCACTAAGGGAACATTTTAATAAGCCTTCATGCATCTTTCAGTCCCCTTAACACCTTTTGAGACATTATATCACATGGGCAACAGTCAAACCAAATTTAATTCAAACAAACTCTCATGACTTTATGTGTACTCATGCTACAATATGTACTGGGTGCCTGAGATGGCCAGGCACTCTGCTGGCTACTGGATACATAATAGCATACAAGCAAGTCCCTACTACCCTCACTTTTTCTCCCTGTGGTATTGAGGATCAAAGCCAAGGCCTCACACATGCTTAGACAGTGTTCTACCACTGAGCTATTTGCCCAGCCCTCTTTTTCATTTTTTTATTTTGAGACAGCATCTCACTGATTCGCCCAGGCTGGTCTTGATCTCCTGAGGTAGATGGGAACCCAGGCCTATGACGTGCTATTGTTAGACCCCTGAAAACTCAGATATCCAGGATCCCAGGCCATGACCGAGGTCACCCCGATCACCAGGTGGATTCGAAAGCTTGCTGCAAACTGCATGAGGCTTTATTGTAATTTAAAGAGCTAACCCCATGTTAGCTAGGGTCTTTCACCCACCTGCCATGGTGGATGGCTAGCAAAGACAGCTCAAACCCGCTGCATACAGATCTTTATAGGGCAGCATAAGGGGAGTGTCTAGGGGTACGCACAGGCTCAGGATTGGTGTGCCTCCAGGCTTGGAGGGGTTGCCGTGTGTTGATTGGCCAACTGGTTGTTATGGCCCATAGGCCCTCCCAGGGTGGTTGCTATGCTCTGCGCATCATTGCTGTGTGCTTGTCCGTAAAGTACACCCAGGGTCATAAAACATAGTACCACCAGCTAACTTCTGATTGGTTCCTTGTCACGAGGCAGGCATCTGACCTCTAAGTGACCAAGGCAAGGTTATGGCAAGCATGTGTTACTGTCGTGGCTGCTGAAATGGGGAGCTGGTCCCTTCACTATCTTTATCCTTTTGCTAATTAAAGGATGACAGAGCTGAATATGGTGATACATACTCATAATCTCAGCACTCAGGAGGCAGAGGCAGGAGGATCACAGTAAGTTCAAGGCCAGTATAGTCTGCATAGCCAGTTCTAGGCAAATCAGGTCTATATGGCAAATCCCTGTCTCAAATAAAATAATATGAAAAAAAGATAAAAGATTGGAGGCTTTTGTAGCAACTTAGAATCTTTTATTATTGGCTCAGAATCACATTTCAAATGTTTACTTTTATAAATGGGAGAAAATGCTTTGAGTAGGCTGATTTTTATGGATTTTAGATCAATGTGCCTTAGTTTTATTGAATTCTATATCAGCATCCTAAGAACGGATCTTATTTAAAGGCCTTTCTAGAAACAGACAGCTATGGTTTGAACCTGTCTGCAGTGGTTTTTTAAAAAAAAATTTATTGATTAGTTTTTTCATTTATTTTACATCCCAACTATAGTTTCCCCTCCCTCCTCTCCTCCCCTTCCCTCTCTGCCTCCCCTGTGCATCCCCCCATGCTCCCGCATCCACTCCTCCTCTGTTTCTGTTCAGAAAGGGACAGGCCAACCATGGGTGTCAACAAAACATGGCATATCGAGTTGAAATAGGACTAAGTTCCTCCCTTTGTATTAAGGCTGGGTGAGACAACCCAGTATGAGGAATAGGTTCCCCAAAGTGAGCTCAAATGTTAAGGACAGGCCCTGCTTCCACTGCTAGGGATTCCACAAATACACCAAGCTATGCATCTTTCACAATATGTAGAGGGCCTAGGTCAGTCTCATGCAGGCACTCTAGCTGTCGGTCCAGAGTCTGTGAGCTCCTATGAGGCCATGTTAGTTGTTTCTGTGGGTTCCCTTGTGATGTCCTTGACCTCCCTGGTTCGTACAATGTCTCCTCCGCCTCTTCAAAAGAATTCCCAGAGCTCTGCCCAATGCTTGGCTGTGGATCTCGGAATCTGCTTCCATCCATTACTAGATGAAGGCTCTCTGATGACAATTAGGGCAGTCACCAATCTGGTTGCAGGAGGTGGTCAGTTCAGGCACCTCTCCGCTATTGCTAGGAGTGTTAGCTGGGGTCATCCTTGTGGATTCCTGGGAGTTTCCCTGGCATCAGATTTCTCCCTGACCCCAAAATGTACCCCCCTAAAAATATAGAACGCTTCACAAATTTGCCTGTCATCCTTTCGGAAAGGGCCGTGCTAATCTCTGTATCCTTCCAATTTTAGTATACGTGCTGCTGAAGGCAGCACTACGGTGTTTCCTTAAGAAGTTGTATATACACTCTTTTCTGAGAACCAGGAATGTGACATGCCTCCCTCTACCCCAGTTTTTGTCACTCCCTTATATTAACACCGGGAAGTACAATATGCTGCTGTTGAGGAAATGAAGGAGTCTGAGCCTCAGAGAGGCTGGGTAACTTGTCTGAGGTCACAACCTTCTTCAGTGTGAGAACTAATGTCTGTTACATTTAAATTCTCTCCACTACACAAAACTGCAAATGCTTGCTTGACTGAAGCATCTCCTTCAGCAAGAGCAAAGGTGAAAAATAGAACTCTGTTCTATGATGCTGTCTGTGTAAAAATCGAGGCAAGCATAGAAGACTCCAGAAAATAAGCCGATAGTGTGAAGTCAGCAGTTCTCCGGTTTATCCTATGGAACCCGAAATGGCAGCATTTAAACTAGAAACAGTTGCAGCTGAAAACCCTTTGAGATCATTGTAGAGTAATTACTTCTAATCTATTTGTGAGAAAATTCACCCAAAGGAGGTTCAGGAACCTTGCTGGGGGTCATCTGATAAGATCAGCAAAGGGTCTAATTAGAATCTCAAGTCAGCTATCACCACAGAGGGTCCCCTTGGCTGACAGGAATTCTACCTCAAGTATAACCTGATCTCATCAAGGACATAACGTATTCATTGCATAGTTACAGCCTTATGAGAAATAACCCCAGGGATTTTTTTAATTCTAAAATTATTGTGTGTGTGTGTGTGTGTGTGTGTTCTCATGCACACTCAAAGCTGTGCCATGATGCCTATGTGGAGGCCAGAAGACAACTTGGGACAGTCATTTTTCTTCTACCTTTACATGGATTCCAGGGACTGAACTCAGACTTGTGTGGCAAGCACTATTGCCCACTGAGCCATCTCACTGGTCTTAAGAGTTGTATTAGCATATATTAGCACAACAATGGGTTTCATTGTGTCGTTTTCATACATGGTATATTTCGATCATATTTACCCCATTAGAATTTTTTTGTTTTTCGAGACAGGGTTTCTCTGTGTAGCTTTGGAGCCTGTCCTGGAACTCACTCTGTAGACCAGGCTGGCCTGGAACTCACAGAGATCCACCTGCCCCTGCCTCCCGAATGCTGGGATTAAAGGTGTGTGCACCACCACCCTGCCCATTAGTATTTCTTGTCCTGACCCCTACCTTCCAACTTCTATTTTCATATTATTTTATGTGGCGTGAACTAATGAATTTAATTAGGGTTTCTTACAGGAATATGAGCAAATTACCAGTGCCACCATACCAGGGAGGAGATATCTTTGTCCCTTATTGACTATCAATTACCTATAGATCCTCAGGGAACTAGGGGGACTTGTGAGCTCCTCCCCTCCATAATGGAATGTTGATTGACCCAATCTCTTGCAGGCTATCACAGAGGCCGAGAGTTCAATGGTAATGGCCTGAAGACAGTATTCCACAACATTCTGCCTCTTCTTCCAGCTTTTACATTATTTCCATTCTCTTATTCTTTGGTGTTCTCTGACCCTTGGAGGGGGTAATATAGATGTCTTATTTAGGGATGGGCATTCAATAGGCATTTACTCTTAGTACTTTGTCCAGTTATGAGTCTTTTCAGTAACTACTGCCCAACACACACACACACACACACACACACACACACACACACACACACACACACGGAAGCTTCTCTGCTCAAAGCTGACAGCATCATTAATCTATGGATATAAACAGAAATATTCAAAGGCAATTTAACAGGCATATCATGTTCACTTAGCACAACAACAGTAGCTTTTCCACTAGGGCCTATGATCTGAGCCACAGACTTCTGATGGAGTTTATAGTACCACATATGAATTCCTTCCTGTGGAGCAGGCCTCAAATCCAAGGATGAAGTCCTTGGTTACCCCTCAAAAATGTATGCCACCATTGATTGCACCAGAGGACATAATGTGATGGGGGTCTAACTTCCAAAGAAACCAGAGCTACTTATCTGACAGTTGCCTTAATATTTATCAAAGATTTCTCTAGATTATACTGCTTCTTGGGATGCATAACTTGACTTCTTACCATGATTTGTGGCTCTTATGCCAGAGAAAATGTAACATTAGGGAATGCAAATCCTTTATTTATTGTTCAGTGTCTAACAGAGTTGGGGTTATAATCCATTATTGATTCCTGCTTATGTAGGAGTCATTAGAAGTGGCATAGTGTTTATTGATTCTCAAACATTTACTGAGCACTGAACTCCAGGCCTGTGTTAGTGCAGGAAATGCAAAGTCACAGGTGGAGTAGTCTGTGTCCTCAAGTAGCCTATAGACATGAGAGAGCCTTGGTTACCAGGATATACAGACATACTCTAGGACTGGGAGACAGACTTGTTCTACCTACGACTGTTACCTTTCACATCTTTTCCTAAACTAAATAGAATAATGTAGAAAATATCAAAATATCATGAATCACCGTGCTGGCAAAACATCAGTTTTCCTTAAAAAAAAAATCACTCAACTATAGGTCGTAATGAAATAAAGAAAACCAATAATGTAAGTATTCATATGTCACTGTGAGATAGAAATATTTCCCTGAATTATTAAATATCTCACATCATAGTATATCTAAATGTTTACCTTTCTTTTATGCTGAATAAAGGTCAGCGTTGACCATTTTCCTTTGGATTAAGTTGTTTTATTCATGTTTCTTATTTGATTTTCTGGTGTTTCATGACCAAACCAAGTTAATGTATATGAAATTCTTACAGCAA